ACGGAGAGACAGAGAAAGAGGGAGACTTGCATACAGCGCACATGCGACACGTGCATCTGCAGCTGCGGCTGCCCCCCGCCCGCCACCGCCCTCCCTGGCCATCAGCGTCAAACTCGCAGCCCATGACCAGACACCGAGTACACACACACGCACGTAGACACACACACACATACACGCATGTACTGCCTGGCTGCCTACAGGGAACACGGGCGACGAGGCTGTTGACGAAAACGCCGAAAGTAAGTACGCTCACACACCACAACAGACCAGACCACACCAGTCCGCATGGCATCCACTGGCTTGGGTGCCTGCCTGCCTGCCTGCATACTGACTGAGCAGGTCACTCCCGGCGCCCACAAGACGAAGGCCCCTTCCTGCTGGCCTCCAACGACGACGGTGGCCAGAACGACAACAGCGGGACACTGCGCAACGGGTGGGTGGGTGCCTGTGGGTCCGCTCCGCGGGAGTGTGTCTGGACACTCGTGTGTTGTGTCTGTTTGTTGATTCGTTTGTGCCTGCAGGGACGGCGCACCTGCCGCTCTGTCGGGCAGCAGAATCGCGCTGGCCAGGTCGGGGGGCACGGTTGCCATCTTCCCATCCCCACAGAGACCATCAGCACCAGCACCAGCAGCAGCACCAGAAGGGTCGGCTACTCGCCCGTCGCAGCAGCTGGGCAGCTCCCATCAGAGCCTCAGCAGCAGCCAAGGCAGCCACAACGACAGAAATGGTCAGTCAGTCGCTTTGTCGGTCGCCATACTGTGCACGCTAGCTACACAATGGCCACTAACGTGTGTGTGTGTGTGTGTGATGGGATGTGAGCAGGTCCGATGCAGCTGGCGCATGCCACCAGTACTACTAGTGGTGGTGGTGGAGGGGCCAGGGTGAGGACCAACGGCATCGCCATTCCCTCACACAGAGGTGAGCAAGTAACTAACTAACCACCTAGCTAACTAACTGATGGATGGATGGATGGATGGGCGGCTGCAGGGATTCTCAACGGCCGCAGAGGCTTCAGAAACCGCGGCAGATGCCTCGTCAAGAAGTGAGCCCCACGATGCACCGACACCCACTCACTCACTCACCCGACCCCTCAGCCCAGCCCACACGTGTGGATCGATCACTCACCCGACCCGCTCAGCCCAGCCCACACGTGTGGATCGATGGGATGGATGGATGGATGGATGGTCGGTGTATGTATCGGAAATGTGTGCAGCAGGTCATCGGCCCCCTGCTACGCGCCCAACCCCCAAGTGCAGTCGGCCGTGCGCAAGCTGCTCGAAATGAGAGACGAGGAGCTCGATGCCATCGCGGATGAGGTGCGGTGCGCGTGAATGAATCCAGACAGACAGACACACACAGGGGTGTGCATGGGATGGCCACTGTGGTGTGCAGCACTTCACGCTTCACGACTTGGACCAGTCGTCGTCTCTGTCGCTGGAGGAGACCTATGCCTTTCTCAACGAGCTCTCTCGCGGATGGGACATCCCGCCGCCTGACGACCACGTACTAACGGGCCCATTCTCAGCGAAATGGCAACGAATGAGTGGGTGGACTCATGTGTGGGTGTGTGCGTGTGCGTGTGTGGGACATGTGCAGACGACGCAGCTGCTCTACTCGAAGTTCGCCGACCCCGGGAGTTTGGAGATGCACCGGAGCGACTTTGTGGAGTTCTACAGACACCTCCTCTGCTACATACGCGACCAGGCAGGATGGCAGATAGATGCCGTGACGACTCTCTCTCTCTCTCTCTCTCTGTGTGTGTGTGTGTGTGTGTCTCTGTGTGTGTGTGTGTGCAGCACTGCCCGGTGCGAATGAGATACCGGCGGTCGTTCTTCATTGACAAAGTAGGCAGATGACACACACGCACACACACACAGACACAGAGAGAGAGAGAGAGAGAGAGAGCGTCTTGTGTCATCTTGTGACGCTTTGTGTGTCTGTCCCTCCCTCTCTCTCTCTCTCTCTCTCTTTGTGGGTATGTGTGTGTGTGTGTTGATGGTGTGGATCGATCGGTCAGCAGGGCCGCGGCGACGTGTGGAAGGTCTACAGGCGGGAGGAGAGGATGGGCCAGGGACAGGTAGCCAACCAACCAAGAAACACCTGTGTGTGCGTGTGCAAATGGATGGATGGATGGATGCATGTGTCGCTATGCGGTGTGTCTGTCCGTGTGTGTAGTTCGGTGTCGTCTACAAGGTGGTGGAGCGCGTCTCTGGGGCCGTCAGGTGCACACTCACACATACCACACACGCTTGTGTGTGTGGGTGTGCATGTGGGTGTGGGTGTGGGTGCAGGTGCTGCAAGATCGTGCGCAAGCAGAGGTCGATTTCGACCCCAGAGCACTTCAGACAGGTGGGGAGGGGGGCCGTGCTGTATAGCCAACCCAAAACGCACATCGAGAGAATCCACCAATTCGCGTACACTGTTTGTTTGTCTGTTTGTCTGCCTTCATTCAGGAGGTTGATTCTCTGCTCGCACTGAACCACCCGTCGGTGGTGCGGCTGCTCGAGTGCTTTGAGGACTACCAAAACCTCTACATGGTCTTCGAAATGCTCGAGGTGTGTGCATGTGCGCGTGAGGGCCACAGACGAGTTGATTTGATACGGCAATCCATCCATCCATCCGTGTGTGTGTGTGTGTGTGTGCAGGGGAGCCATCTGCTCGACATTCTGCTCCGCACCTTCAAGGAGCAGCAGGTATCTGCCTGCCTGCCTGCATGCGACAGACGAGTGTGTGCGTGTGTGTGTGTGTGTGTGTGAGTAGGTGGTTCCCGAGCCCCGTGCAGCCCGTCTGATGATGTCGATAATGCGAGCAGTGGCCCACTGCCACGCCAGGAGGATCATGCACAAAGACATCAAAGTCAGACATGACAGACAGACAGACAGCCAATCAGCCGGCAATCACAGAGAGGACACTGCACACATGTCTGTCTGTCTGTCTGCCTGCGTCAGCCTGAGAACATCATGGTCACGGACGAGTCCTTCGACGAGGGTCAGTGACACACGCACACACACACACACATGTCTGTGTGGATGGTGTGAGTGAATGGTTCCCCTGTTGGGCGCAGCGCACACGCACCTGATCGACTTCGGCCTGAGTGAGATGTTCGCGCCTGGAAGCGACGTGTGGTCGTCCAGCAGCGGCGGCACACCCTACTACATGGCCCCTGAGGTGACACACACACACACACACACAGAGAGAGAGAGAGAGAGAGGGAGAGAGAGTGTGTGTGTGTGTGTGTGTGGATGGATGGGCGCCGCTCAGGTG